TCAGATATTGATAGATGAAAACTAGAAGATTCTGTATTTGAGCACTAAAATCACCTCCTTACATTATAAGAAACTGTTTTTGAGACTAATGCCCGTTTTCAAACACAAACGTTTTTAACAAAATTCCTGATATGTGTTACCATAGAGGTCACTTGAAAATTAGGGATTGATGGCAAATTAAAATTCAAATAGTTTATTCAGTATAAGCCCTTTCTAGAGCACTTATAGGACGTCTCAATTATAGCTTGACCTACTACCAAACGACAAAACGGTAAAAACGGGCATTAGTGAATAGATGTTAGTCATAATCAACTCATGTCAATGTTCAGGATAGGTAGAATGCAGTAATCTAACATCATCATCATTGGGTCATTTGGTCTTCACTAGGAGAACACGGCTTACTCTAATTTACCAAGAGTTCGGGAGGCCTAGTCTTCACTGGCCTATTTATTGTCCCGAAGCAGTGGTAGGATTTAATACTGGGACGTGTAAAAGTGATTTTTAAAAGCCTACTTGCAAAAATAATATGAGTTTTATAAGTTTCTTTGCTTTCCAAATTAATTCTGTTTACGCATTTGTGAATCAGTATTATTTACCTTTCTCTCAAATTAATTGGGCTTAACACCTCGTTATGCCACACATAATGTATCTTGAAGATTAATTTCATCATGATGTCTTGTTATCAGATCTAAAGAGTGTGTTAATATAGATAATGTTATGTCCATTTTTGTTCATACGGTTCATAAACAGCTTTTCCTTAGTTATTATGATAGAGTTAAAAAAAAAAAGGAAAAATTTGAAAGCAGACTTCCAAAATCCCACGAATCCATGTTATAATTTTCTAAACAATGAAACAACAGATGTTATTGAATTTGATAAATAAGCCACGGGCAAGAGCAAATTATCTAAAGAGTTTCATCATCATCATCATCGTTTCAGTTCAGCCAAAGGAAGTCCACTGCTGAACTTAGGCCTCCCCCAATGACTTCCGTAATTAGCCGGTTAGCAGCAGCCTGCATCCAATGCTTCTCTGCAACCTTTTATGAGTCATCTGTCCACCTATGTGTAGACGTCCTACGCTGCGCTTACCGGTATGTAGCCTCCACTCAGAACCTTGCTGCCCCATTGGCCGTCAGTTCTGCGTGCTATGTGCCCTGCCCATTGCCACTTCAGCTTGCTAATCTATCGGGCTATGTCAGTGACAGTGAATCATTGGGGGAGGCCTGTGTTCAGCAGTGGACGCCCTTTGGTTGAAATGATGTTGATGATGTCAGTGACTTTAGTTCGTTTATGGATCTCACAATTTCTGATTCGATCTCTAGTTTATTGGGTATAAAAATTCCAATAGCGAACATTATCCCGGCATTAATGTTATGAAGTTCGTTGTGTCTTTCTGCTCACCGACATTAAAGCCTTGGGCATAGGCTTGTTAGTACTTTAAAACTGCTTATTTATTACTAGCTGTGCCCGCGACTTCGTCCGCGTGGACTAATGACTTTGGGTAGGCACTTTTAATAATTTAGTCTAATTATTTTACAAAGGCCTATGTTCAGCAGTGGACGTCCTATGGCTGAAATGATGATGATGATGATGATGATTCTACAAATAGCTTTTGCCCGCGACTTTGTCCGTGTAGAAGTCGACAAAGTTCTCATAGGATTTTTAAATGGTTTTTAACGTTATTATCTAAATGTTTGAATACTATTTGATCGTTTAAACACAGTGAATGATTCAATTACATAAATTTTTAATGATACCTTTTCACGGCTTCGCTCTCATGAATGTTAACGACCGTCAAAAGCACGTCGATAGATGGCGGTCACTAATTTAGACTTTGATTTGCTCGTTTAAACACAGTGAATTATTCAATTACATAAAATATCTTTATTGACTAAATTTTAAATATTATGAACAGGTTCTATAAATGTAATATTTAGTTCCTAATTAGGACTAATGATACGTTTCACGGCTTCGCTCTCATGAATGTTTACGACCGTCAAAAGCACGTCGATAGATGGCGTTTTTAAAGATATTTCTCACCTCTTAACTATTTATTGAAATTTAGTTTGTCACATATCGTCATAAATTGTAGCGTATATGTTAGCTTGGGTTATAAATAATAATACTGTAAAGTTTCAACAAAATCCGTTTATTAGTTTTTGCGTGAAAGAGGAACAAACATCCAGACACCCAGACAAAAAGGTTACAGTGAGCCAACCATAAAAGATAGACATATGCTGTCGCGGACTTTTTTGTAGAACTTTTAAAGGGGAAAATCCTATCATACATAATTTATGCGAAACTTTAACCGTTTACGCAGCGTCAGCTCTCAAAAGGAAAAAAATCACTGATTTGAAACATTCTTCATTGGTGCTCCGCTCCTAGTGGTCTTAGCGTGATGATATATAGCCTAAAGCCTTCAGGGATTAACGGACTATCCAACACAAAAATAATTTTTCAAATTGGTCCAGTAGTTCCTGAGATTAGCGCGTTCAACCAAATAAACAAACTGTGATTAATAAATTGCGCCACTACAAACCGTACCAACAGATGGCGCTGTTACGATCTTACTATGGCAAACTCCACCGCGCATACAATCCTGCATCGCGGTGACGAAGTTTTTTACCCTGCCCAGTATATATAGACAAACCAAGATAGTGTAAAATAGATGCACTAACACTATACTCCTTATGGTGATTGAGCGTCATGGTTCACAACTTCAGCTTTATAATATTAGTATAGAAGTATAGATTAAACTACCGTTGCAAACTCTCTGATCAACAGATAAAGGGAAATTAGCATCGAATCTACTATCGCTGTAAAATCTTTTATATACTTGGACTGGTACTCCGAAATTGGCTAAGAAATTAAATTATTACACCGGATGTGTTTTTAGATATAGGTCAAGAATAATGCAGTCTACACACTAAAGCCACATGAGTCGGTGTCTTTGGACATGTTGTCAAAAGTCATGGAAATTACAAGTCATCGACATGATTCTCTTGAAATAAAGTCGCCGACATCAAGCCGTAGGGCTTGGTGTGTAAAATCTTTAACACGCACTCACGTACCTACAAATACGAGTATATAATATAAAGTATGAGTTTAAGTAATATAAGTAGGTATTAAAATTTATATTATTACTTTGGTCCATTTGATTATTTCGAGTAGATTTTCGTTTGGAACCATATTATCAACCTCTAACCGCAACTAAAGATAAATTGATAAACCTAATAGACTTTTCTTAGCCACCAGAAAGTTTTATTAATAATACTGTGTATAAATTATGTAAATATATTAATACAAAAATGTTAAGATTAATACTAGATCTGTAACAAATAGATTTCTCATAAGCCTTCAGATTAAATCGAACAACAGCCTTAGAGAGAAGTAATAAGCCATTAGAAATTTTAATGAAATTATAAGTTACATGTATTAAAGTGAGTATGGAAGCTAATTTTCCAAGACCTAAAGCCAGTGAAAATGGAAAGTAAAGTTATCACTGGTATCTTTTCATTGTTCTTAGTCGAGTGGGAAGAATAAAGGTTACACCTTTAGTTTCTGTGGCCTTGCCAGGGCCCTAGCTAGGGAATAAAATGCCTTTAGGTGACCTAATGAAAGGCCTAACAGAAATTGTCTGTCTTCAGTTGTTTGAATGATCAAAGATTTTGGAATATTTCGGTGTGATACCTATGGATTATAAATTAATGATACCTTTTAAAACTAAAGAAATAAAATTGATAGCGGTTTGAAGTTCTGGGACATTGACATAATTGCTGTAAAATATAGTATGGTTGATCTTAGCTTCTTTAAATTAATGAAAACCATAAGATGAGTAAAAAAAATTGAAAATTATAGATTACTTACGTAACTATTATCCGTTAAGCTAGCACCCATAATACAAGTATTAAGTTGCTTACTTTGGGGCTGGTGCTGTGTGAAATTGTCAAAAGATTTATTTATTTATTGTCTACAAACAACGCTCACTTTCATTAATTGGAATATTGAGTTTTCTAGGAACTAGTTCCTAGAGGTTATACGTGTAAGCATGCGTATAGGCCCATAACCTCTAGGAGTTCCTAGTTAGGAACTCTACCAAAATACACTGTCGTTCCCTCATCCCTCTTCTTTTTCTTTTAATAGTCTTAGTTCCATCAGCACTCTGTACTCTGTACTTTTGTACTGATTTATTGGAAGATATTGGTATCTTAATACACCTCTGGCTTCAACAATAGATCGTCTATGCACGTTTTGACTTGGGAACAAAATACATAGTAGACATTGTTACTAGGTCCGATAAGATCTGTGTTTTTATTTAAAGAAATTGTAGCACAGAACGTGTAGACTTCTCATCAATGCATAGTTAATTATTGATTCGACAAACGAAAATAATTAGTTCACATTGTTCAGTAAACTCATGAATGAAAATTTTATGTTTTTGTGAGACATTTATGAATAGAGTAAATTTTCCCTTATTTATGTGCTTTGGTAGAGATCTTATATGTTAACGTAATAGAAAACATTTCAATTCTGCGGTTCACACACAATTCACAATCGATTAATTTGTGCACACTTAAAAATAGTATAATTTATGTACAAATTTTCTTTTTTTAACTTTCCCGGAAAAGTGCTCTTAATTACAAACAAATTACCTATACATGCAACTACTATCATTAGTCTAAAACCTGCTTTTCACTATCACTTCCTTCCTTAATCGAATTCCGAGCTAGATTAAAAATCGATTCGGCAGTCGATTACGCAACGAACACCTGTAACAAAACGCGCGCGGGTGCATCTCACGCAAGTGGCACGACGACCATTGATCCGGAACGCACACAGCGTCATCTACACACACATTCACACCGTAGAACCCCGAAAATGCGTACACGCAAGTGCTCGTATTGAAACAATTTCGTCGTAAGCGTTTTAATCGGCCGTTTTCGGACTTGTCCGGTTGCGTAGTGGGGTGAGGGACTTAAAACTGACTGGCATTGAATCGACGCTACATTTTGTGCTAAGCTTTCCGTAGGGGTAGTTCTACCAGTCATGAGGCGTTACGTGTTTGCCCTACTTTTAGTCGCGTCGGCGCGGGCGATGCCTGCGGTCGAGAGCGAGAATGATCCAGGCCTCATGGGACGCGTTTTGGGAGCAGTGAAGGAGTGTGTTGACGGAGATGTTACCTTGTGTTTGAAGGTGGGATCAGTGATAAGTGAAATAAGTGTTGTGATCAGTGATTTGTGGAATTACTAAGTACATATATCTTTTGGTTGCAGGAGAAAGCGTTGAAGTTCACGGAGAGTTTTACTGCGCGGGAGATGAGTTTGGCTGATGGGGTGACCTTGCTGGGAACTGGGTCTCCGAGGTCTGCTAGGGCTCTGGAGCCATTGTCTGAGGAGCCTAAGGCCAGGGAAGCCCAGGTGGAGTCCAGGCTGGTCGACTCCGCAGCTGACTTCCTGGAGAACCATGTCATCCAGTTCAAACTGCCCACATCAGCCGTCGAGGGAATGAAGAGGTCACTTGAAGAAGGTGCGTATTTTTGATTATTTATCAGGAATAATTAATTTATAAAAAAAATATGAAAGTGATCTCGTTTAGCCGGTTGTAAAATAACGTAAATTATCAAATAATGTAGATATTATAAGTATGTTTTTGCTTAAAAAAATAGATAAATCTCATTAATTAAAAAAAAAGTAAAATAAACAATATTGACAACAACACAAAAACAAACATTTAACACACATCTCATTTTCTTCTAATGAAATTACTTTTTTACTCACTAATTAAGTAATTTAAGTTAAAAATACTTTTGAAATCATTAAAAAAATAACAAGAAAACAAGTAGATACCTACATTAGACAAATCTAATGTAAAACAAATAAGTCTTAACGTGTGACATAAATATTACCAAATCAAATCAATAGGACAGAAGACGACTGCTAAATTATGCTAATTTGACAGTCCGGTTAGTTTATTATGTTATCATGAGAGAAACCCTAAATCTATAAAGATTTAAGCTGTTTATAAAAATAATAAAATGACAGATTAATATAGTAATTACTGTATAAAAAGGCATAGGACAATAAGTAAATACTTTGCGAGTTAATTCACAAATCAGATCAGAGATAAAGCTTAGAAATCACTAACAAATATAACTGCACTAAAAAAGGACGTCATTTTTTATTACGTAAACTCTACAATCTACATACGCTAATAAAAAAGAAAGAATCGTTACATAAATCAAAGTAGAAAAAACAAACGACGAAAAGTAAAACAAATGCAACACAATAAAACAAAATAGAGAATTAAATAAGTCTAAACAAGCAGATGTAATGGTTCGTGGTACACTTTATTTCAATGTTAAACAAATAGAGCAAAAAATGATTGCGGTTTGATAACTATTATAGTTTTGAAGTCACGACGACCGGATGCTAAGTGATATCGGGTTTCAAATTAATCTGATACGAACAACTTTTACTTTTTGTCTGCCGGTCTGATTATTATAGTTAGTAAAGTATACTGTAATTTAAATTCTTCGGTTTATCTTAACGGTTATCTTAACTTACGTTATACTAATCTACTTAAGTGTAAAATTTTTGAAGTGAACTAAATGGTTACTCGTAAGTCATACCAATTTCATATATTTATAATGTTTCATCAATTTTGATTGAATATTTTTAGAATAGTGATGATAGATCGTGTAGACAATTAACTTCACACCATTTCACGATTTATTTCCTGAAAAAACTGTTAAAATAAATTAATTTAAGTAATTGGGTGTCAATAATCAATCAACAAGCCTGAGAATAATTGGAAGGAAATAATTGTGAATCAATGAACTGCAAAGAAGCCGCTTCCGTATTATGATTTATTTATTTTTAACAACTTATCAAGTACACTCTAAATTCTAATTCTGAATTTCTAAGTGTGACTTGTTTACAACTTAATATTCCTGATATGGACTCGGACAACGGTACCGTGTGTACAGTTGGTGACAAAAATTAGACCATAAAACTTCTCTCCGTTTATTCTCAATATTTGTTCCGTTTGCGGTATTATGTAAAAAATTACATTTATATTTTTGGTTTCTTCGTGGTCATGCTTGGGGATTAGATGTTAGATCATCATATACCTTTTGTTATAACTTACTTCACACTAACATTGATTGTAGGCTTAAATCCGGTCAGTAGCAATATAAAAATTTAAACCCGTTGAAGTATTATATTATTCTAATATCCGGAAGCTGAAGATCAAAAATTTCCTACCATTAACTCAGATTTAGTTGAGAAATTATTCTGTCGCTTTAAACTATGTAAAATTTACGAATGTATTTTTTTAGACAATGTCAAATAAAATAAAATCATAAAACTACGTGTGATAAACAAGTGCGTGTTTTACATTCCACCAAACCTTTTTCCATTCGACTGTACCGAACTTGTTTGCTTTAGTTAACTAGCCGCTTTGACATACTAGCTTAGTTTATTATCACTTGCTTCTAGTTTCACCTTTTTGAACTTTACGTTTAACGTGTAGGAATCTGCTAGTCATGCAGTGAAATTATCATCGTTGGTGCTTCCAACAAGATTCTTCGAGTAAGGTTTATTGCATATAGACACTCGTAATGTTTTCATTGCAATATGTACGATGACAGTGTAAAATAATGTACATTTTACGAAAAATCATGAGTTTTCATTATGTATCTGTCATAAATTTTAATACCTAAATATTGTTCAATTTCTCATTCATGGTAGTAAATTCCACCTTATTACTATTTATGCCCTTTTAAGGTCACTTTGTATAAGATCCTAATATAGCTTGCTAGCTAATGATAAAGTATCAACACAATATTCCTTGTTAATCCTCAGAATTACGAAGATATCATTTATCACCCATTCGTTTTTAGAAGCACTAAACGCCACTGACCTTCCTCAATTCCTAATGCAATTTAATTTTACTGTCCAATAACATTCTAGCGACTTCTTCATTATCAAACCTCCTTTCTAAAGGCTAAACTTCACAAACCTCCACCAATTCTTGTCACATTTTACTATCTACTAAAAATTCACTACCAACCTTTTCTTCATATCGCACCTTAGAATTCCATTCAAGTCCAAAAACGTTACGCACACAGACTGGGTCAGGAAAGCGGCTCGCATTCCTGCCTATTAGACAGGTTTAGTCCTTCTGAACTTTCATGATGGAACCTGTTCCAAGCCGGGGCCAGTCATCGTGAAATCGAGCCATAACTGAGCATCTTCTCCGAAGAAAGTTGTCTCGCCTTTCCAATGAAGCGAGCCTTTGATATTCTTGCGGTAATTTCGAGCCTTTACCGCCAAATTATCGTAAGCGACACTTTTGTCAAAAAACCGTTTTTTATCGATTCTAGTATTTTAAACCGTAACGGACCCATCCCTGTTGGTGTTTCCCGCCAAAAAAAAACCGTTACAAAGTTACAGCAAGTGCTAAAATTATCGTGAATACACATTTTTTCTAAAACTTAACGTAAGCGACACATGCATTTTATCGCAAGCGACCGCACTTGTTATCGCAAGCGACATTAGCGCTTCACTGTGGGCGTTTACTAATAAACAAACCTGTTGTTTATATTATCAGCAAAAGTTCTGATGCAATTAGAGATTGCAATCGAATATTCGAATATTCGAATTTTTAATTTCAAATTATTATTCGAATAGTAAATTAACATGTATTCGAATATTCAAATATTACAAAAATAAACAGAAAAGATAGAAAAAAGACGACTTAGTGTTTGCAAATGCAGTCGGAAGCATAAACCTTTTAAAATGCCTATTTATTTAACAATTATAATTTCTTGGACATAGTAATTTTGATAGGTAATGTTATCGTAAACGCCCGAATATCTATAGACTGTGACAGCAAAAATATTGTATGCGCCATAAATGGCATAAATACTCATTATTTTTGTTTTATTTTCAGTCATATATTTAAATCTCTAAAAATCATTAACGTATGTCATTTTTCTTGTTATTAGCACACTTCTGATTAAAAATATTTAAAAAAAACCTTCTCCTGTAAAATTTGGTTTTTGTCGGTTGCGCTAAAATGGCGGTAAAGGCTCGATTTGATGTTTCCTTTGTAATTGAGATTGTTGACAATTCTATTATGAAGGCGATAAACACTGATAGATTTACGCCCGTATTCACAAACATTACTATGCGCACAGTGTGACACGATAAACAATCACAGAGATCTATTCAACGCTGTGCGTTCGATTTGCTGCTTCACTTAAGCAAGCATCGTTTGTCAATACGGGCGTTAGTATGAAATTCGAACCTTTGATGAATGACAGTTTAGATTATTTAATTTTGGTACGAAGAGCATCTGCTCTTTTATTTTGAATCTCTATGGTGCAGCGGAAAATTTTGTGGCTACCCAAGTAACTTTTTAACTATACTTGAAAAAATATTATAAGAATAATGATGCAGGCATTGGTTTTAATAATGATATTAAATCTTTAATTAATTTTACTAGTGAAAGTTATATTTTGCATAATTTTACCAATAACTTGTTTTAATCAGAGGCCTTGAAGTAGAGAAAGTGATCTGAATATTTTTTATTGAATGAAGTTCACATTTGTATACAATCAGCGTTTTCTTTGTCCTTGTTTTACTAAACATCTGTACCTAATTATTTTCTTAATACTGTCTTCTTTTTCTTATTCATGAATTGCTATGATTTTAAATGAGAAAACCATTTTTATTACTAATTGGTTTACTCAAGCATATAGAGGTAGATTCAAACAATAATCTAGCGAACTAGGACATGGAAGCAAACGATTAACTAGCAGGCCAACGCGGTTCTAATAATACAGGAAATACTAATGCAAATAAAAACTCCTCTGCAATTTCGAAGCACGCGAGTACAGACCGCACATCAAGCTGATCACTGTAGAATCTTATTTCGTAGTAATAGGTGTGCTTTTGCTATAAAAATGCACAGCTTGATGTGATGTTGACCGTACATGGGATGCTTTATAGGTTACTGGTACTTACTGGAGTGTACTCGATACGTAAGATGCCCGGTTCACTGAATATTGTACAAGTAGGCACGCATACTTAATTAGATGTACAGTAAGATATTATTATTATCAGATGGTTTCAAGAGTAGGCTAACAATAATTTGCATTTGCATACTTTCTTGAATAACATTTTACTTGTTTGTTTTTGTGTTGAAATGAACTTCCTTATTAGCGTAAATAAGTATACTCTGGATGATTGGATGTAGGTAACCTACATGTTCTACATGTTAAAACATATTTTGAAGGAATATTCTTGTGTTTATAATTTTTCGATTGTTCTTTTTGCCTCTGGTAAATTAGAGAGTGACATCATCCTCCTACAGTGGAGACTGAAAAACCTGTTGATGGGATGGCGAATATAATTTAAGAAACAATGAAGTAACAAAATTCTCTCTTTTACAGCTCGTGGCAAGAAAAAGAAGATCAAGCAGCTCATCCCTCTCTTCGCTTTGGCCAAGTTGAAGATCACCGCTCTCATTCCTTTGTTCCTTGGCATCATCGCCTTCGCCGCCACCAAAGCCCTGCTCTTGGCCAAGGTCTCCCTCCTTGTTGCCGGTATCATTGCCCTCAAGAAACTCTTGGCCAGCAAACACCATGAAACCAGCTATGAAGTTGTCGCTCATCCACACCACGAAGAACACTTCGCTAGCAGTGGCCATGGGTGGGGCAGATCAATCGATGACGCCCAAAACCTAGCGTACGCTGGCCATATCAAATCTGATTAAGCTTTTGCTTTAACACATTGAGGGGCAACCCAAGGGTGTATTTTAAGTCCCTCTTTGTATAACGTGTAAAATAGTCACAATATCGTGTCTACGAATGTGTATATTGATTTTATTTATTACTAGTTAAGGTTTAATTTATTTCGTAACTTATTCTGCGACCCTTTGTAAGGGATGAACGAAATCTTGTTGTTGTTATCCAAAAAGTGTTCCAAGTTTGTATGATTCCTCGTGTATGTTATTAGTATACTATATTAGTATTTTTTTTCACACCCTATACGGTATCCGTATTTGTGTATTTTGGTTAAAAAAACTCTTTAGTTTCTACTTGTTATGTGTTTAACTGTTTTAAGTATGTTTTTATACTTTCTAGTCCTACTACTCTAAGTCCTTTTATTTTTATCTTAATAATTTTTATCTTGTATGAAAGCATCTAAATATTGGTTTATACGTTCAAGTATTTATATTTATTATTATTTATATTATAATATTATATGTATGTGATATTTATTTATCAGTTTATATTATTTTTATCATATTTGATTATTTTGTACAAAGTACAATATTTTTATTTAGTATTATTGTTTATCTGTGTATATAATTATTATTTTGTGATATTTTTTGTTTTATAATATTGTTCCGCCTCGTATATATCATGATTTGCGAAACAATAATTATTATTTGTGTGTATTTGTACTATTTATATAACACCAATCGTACAAATAAAGAACTGAATGTTATTATGCTTTTTAATTAACTTTACGTGTTTAATCTTCCAATTAAAAAGGGTACGCTAATAATAGAGCAATTATCATGATTGATTACTTTATTAGTCATGCCGATGGATCTAAGAGTTAAACCGTCTTTAATTCATTAATCGACTAAAAATAAAAGAAATTAAAATACTTTCAATACATCCGAATACAATAGCCATCTCAAGCCACAGCTTTATTAAGTCATCTTTACAAGAGTTATGACTATTACGATAATTTCAAAGTTGCAAGATAGTCCAATTGGTCACAGTACATTACAGAAGTGTATACTTATTACATGCGGTACTGCGATGGTATGTGGTTAGAGAACTGGCTGTTTTCACGGTCTTGCATGTTAAGTAGTCAATATCAGGGTCATTTGGAAGGGCGAGGCAGTTGTACTAACGGGACTTCTTGCCCTTGAAAAATGTTAAGGGTACACCTTTGGTGACAAAGTTTATAGAGATTTTTTTTTATAGTTGTCATTTCAAAGTTCTGTAACCCATCTTGAAATAACTTTCTTATGAATCCCATCTCTACTTCCTACTATTAATTTATTGATCCACTGTATCGGATAATAATTTTGGAGTTGACGAGTGACAGTCGCAAATTGTGGAATTACCACCATAGTCCTACTTCTACCTGGAAGTCCGGGATTATAATGCATTAACCGTAGAGAGACTGGATTTGAGAGACACTTATTCTAGTAGTTTATTGTACTTTCTTTTCCATGTAGATTGTCTGGTAGCTTTAGCGATAAGTCCAGCTAAAGTCTGATCTCTTGCGATTGATTAATTGTTACTGTTTATTTTTGCGCTCGTTGTAACGAGCTTACAAGCTCCATCTATCTCTATCACGACTAAAAATGGACTCTACTAAATTCATGAATCATTTTTTGACGAAAGAGTCAGCTAAATTAATCCCGAAGTGACAAATATTCCTATTTTACTCTTCGGTTTCTTGACACTACAAAATAAATAAGTCAACTTTGTCTCGAGGTGAAAATAAAGCATATCAATAGATCATTGTAATACATATTTGAAGTAGAGACAATTAATTTGATTGATAAAATGCAATGCAGTATGCAATCGAATAGAGCGAAACCTAGCTAAGAATCTAGATAGGATATCTTCCGCAAAGCAAGCAGATCTAACAACAAAATCAATTAAAGAAAGCACACGAAGAAAAGGCGGTAGAAGTTCAATGGGTTTTAAACAGATGGCGCTGTAATAAACTTTCACTGATTTGAAAGCTTTTAGTTTTAGATCGCATGTTTGAATGTTTTTATGATTTTGTAGATTACCCACGGTTGGGATCGAAAGAATCCCAACTAATATTATAAATGCGAAAGTAACTCTGTCTGTCTGTCTGTCTGTCTGTCTGTCTGTCTGTCTGTCTGTTACGCTTTCCCGCTTAAACTTCGCAACCGATTTTGATGAAATTTGGCATAGATATAGTTTGAGTCCCGGGAAAGAACATAGGATAGTTTTTATCCCGGTTTTTGAAACAGGGACGCGCGCGATAAAGTTTTTCTGTGACAGACAAAATTCCACGCGGGCGAAGCCGCGGGCGGAAAGCTAGTTGAAGAATATTTTATAGCAATTAGTCAATGTTAATTTCTACAAGTAAAAGTTTGTTTATTTGCCATTTCATATTCCCACAAGTACAAAAACTATGAAACATGTCAGTAGATGCACTTAAAAGTTGAGTCAATATTAAAACAGGTTGCAGGTCCAATGACAGTTTAACTTTCCCCGGTACAAATTTGACCTTCACTGGTTGGGTTTTTATTGGCGGTCAAGCTATAAATCCTGGCTACACAGGAGTCGCAGCGGTGGGAACGAGAGGTGGGAATAGTCTCGTTTGGTATTAACACAGATTAAATTGCTTACTTTGATCATAAATAGGGTTGGACTCTCTCAAAAGCTTTGCAAACCCTATGTTAGGAAAGGACGAGTTTCAATCAAGTTAAGAGAAAATAGGGCGTATCTTCCGTCTCTCTCAAAGAATTCTCTCCTTGCATCACCCGGGCGTTCCGAGGGCCCAGGTTGGTCATGACATATGCGTAACATCCACTTTCTTCAATGGGCGTGCCGGATCTTCGATATTCGTGATTCACACGGTCCGCTCCGATGGCACGGCTGTCAAATATTACACAATCAAGCTCGGGTCATGAATTAAATTAATGGTGAATAAATTGTCTGGAACTAAAGGCCTGTCCGATTATTTAAACAAAAGATAGTCGATTGAAAAATATAAAATGTAGACGATCTATTTCATTTATGGAACTATTTTTATGGTTTACTTAGGCTGGGATGATGCACATCAAATATTTAACAAACGTCAAAAATCTGTCAAACTCCATACAAAAAACACCGGTTATTGTTATAGTTACGGTAAAGTAAGTTGGTGCAACTCAGCCTTACTGTTTACTTTGTAATTATTATTAATTTATGACATTTTACACCAGAACCCTACGCTCTAGTGGTTTGAGAAGCTAAATCCGATCTAGGTACCTCTAGGTACCTACAGAAAATCACTTCTTTTATTGTTTCCCAGTTTGGTGAGTCTGAACCAGAAAATTCTGATTTTCTCTACCTGCAAAAATATAGGTGGGTATGCAGAGGGTATGAAAAATCGGCAATTTACTTGAACCATACTGAACATAGGCCTCACCCAATGATTTCTTTCCATATCGCGCGGTTGGTAGCCCGCATCCAGTGCCTTCCTGCTACCTTTATGAGGTCATCGGTCCACCTTGTGGGTGGACATCCCACGTCAGACGCACATAACAGCTCATAAAATTTAAACTCAAGAGACCTAGATTATATTTTATAACCACAGAAAATTCACATTTAAAGACTTTTTGATGAATTGATTACGTTAAGTGCTTTTTAAGGGCTTAACTATGTTGTACTTTCTTCAACAACTTCATTGAGTAGGAAGTTTGGCTGTCACAATGAACAATACAATAAACTCACATTTATTCCCTTATGTACCACGAATTCCACCTTTTTACTCGACTGGCCAGAATGAGGGTTATTCCTTATTCCAGTGTTAGAGTGTATGGATTTGTGCAGCAGTGGACGTCTTTTGTTTGAAATATTACAGTTATAATAGATTTAACACTGAATTTGAGCGCGCAACGAGTGTGTTGTCGTATGGAACCGCTTTAGACTTGATTGGGCGACTTGAAACCTGCTTATGTAAATACTCGTAAATGAAATAACTATAGCAAGTAGGCTAGTGCCCGTTTTCACCATCAAGCCCTAATTTTTAAGTGACCCCTATGATAACACATAACAGGAATTTTGTTTTCATAGGGGTTACTTAAAAATTTGGGATTGATGGTGAAAACGGCCATAAGACGCTCTTACTTTGAAAATAAAATTTTGGTGGAAATCACTTGAACAAAAACGGAATAAACCAACACATGATAGCTCTATGTTTTATGATCTTGTGTGAACTCGAGAAAGTTTGGATGAAATTTCTACGTTTAATGTGTGGATATACTGACTGCATTGTTCACATGTCGCATTTTAAGAATATAACTTACGGAAACGTTGGCAGCCATTATAACAATATAAAGAATTTAAGAGGGGTTCCGTAACAAGCAACAGAATTTTATTAATAAGGTGGGTTTTTAAATGCACAATAATTTTATGTGTAGAAGACTCATGTGTGTCATCAACTTCAAAAGCTATTAAGGCAGAATTGGCACACAAAATATTTGCGAAAACACTCGTATGAATGAAATACTATATATTTTTTTCTTTTTTATTAATAGAGCATTATTTCTACATGATATTTTATTACTTTAAAGGAAGAAAAACACCAAAATATTTTTGCAAGTAGGTAGGTATTTACAAAAGCTTTCGCAACCTCTACAATGTCCCACTAACATGTGCTTAATATTCGTTTTTTCAGTGACGCCACAGTTATCCAACTGACGGATGTAGGTAACCGAATGCGCGTGCGTTGAATGAACGTCGGAAGTTGAATTAGGTAATCGCGAATCGCTCGAGTAACGTCTCAGCGCTGGTTTGTAGCGTATGCAAAAAAAAAGTTTTTGACTTAGTTATACCACAGAATCACTAAAATCAAGTGGCAGTGGGCGCCACATAGCTCGTAGAGCTGATGGCCGCTGGGGCAGGAAAGTTCTTGAGTGGCAACCACGAGCCGGAAGACGTGGCGTGGTGGACCGACGATCTGGTGAGGGTCACGGGAGATGCCTGGATGCGAGCGGCGCAGGACCGGTCTTTGTGGAAATCCTTGGGGGAGGCCTTTCTCCAGCAGTGGACGTCTTTCGGCTGAAACGAACGACACCTAATAGACTACAGATTAATTAGTCCGTATTTTTTTCGTTCCCAGAGATTAAGATTGGGTTTTTATTGACTGTAGATCTTAGATCTCAGGTAATATGATTCCTTTTTTATTGGTGATCAAGCTGTAGTACTTACTTACATCCTGCCTGAGAGTTGCAGTGTGGGAGCTAGAGGTAGGAACTAGGAATAGTCCCGTGCATTTTACCTGTAAGATAGAATATACATGATGGTGATGATGATGATTAGTCACAGTGTTTAAGGCGTTTTGTACATAGAACCGTCATTGTTCGGCAGTGTTTGGGAAAAGATTATGCCTAACATTGGACATGGACATGAAGTGGATCCGATGATGAACAAACTAAACTTGAAAAGGTTCAGATGAAAATGAGAACTCATTTAATCAATCCTTTTGTTAGGAAAAAGCAAGGTGTTTTGTATACATTTTGTAGCGCTATATTTGAAGGATATTATAACAAAACATTTTTAAAACCACCCAGTTGAATCCACGCCACCACGGAGAAAATTCATGAAATGCAATTAACTTTTAACATTGAGTTTTGACTAGTAATTTAAGAATCAAAACTTCACGGTGCGCGCTGTCTAATGGATAAACGACCAATGATTCATCGTGCACTGAACTAACAACTTATTATGCTATAATACGCAATATGTTAGAGATTCCAAACATTATCGTTCAGACAGCCTGTCTAGACCGGATTTAGATGCTACTTTGTTAAAGCTCAAATTGTACAGCCATCTCTTTTGATGCACCAAGAATATGACGATACTCTTCATCAACATTTCAGCCATAGGACGTCCACTGCTGAAGATAGACCTCCCCCAATGATTTCCATGTTGACCGGTTGGTAGCGGCCTGCGTCCAGCGCCCATCTGCAGCTACCTTTGTGGGACCTTTGTACCAGTTAATGCTGTTAGTACCCTTTAACTCAATTTAAAAGGATGACATTGGCATGGAATTAAAGAATCTACTAACAAAAGAACAAAAACAAAAGAAGACGAAGGTAGAGAAATAATTACTTACCTACTGTTTTTGTTTAACTTGTGCATGAAGAATATTTTTCAGTTGTAATAGAGGCGATTTTATAACAAAAATTTAGAAATCTATGGTACTGTCGACTGTACATGAATACGGATAACCAAATACAAATCTAGGCTCCCTTTATTGACCACCCACGATGACACCGTGTTGAACATTGTACGTAGGAGTTTTGTTTGAATATGTGAATTTAAATCAACGCGTAGGTTTATCAAGAAAAAGAAATTGTACCCGCAAAGCTGGATTCAAACACTTTACAAAAGCAGTACAAAATTCTCCATAAAAACATCTTGGAAGCAATGGCCTAGAAGCTGAAAGGATATTCCCTGGTTAAGGTTTCCGAAAGCCACTAAAACAGGTGCTTTGGGCCCTGATCTTCCAAAGTTTGATAATGATGATTTTAATTCTGGACAAAAAAGTCAAACAAATATTTTTTCGTGGAACCCAAGCCCACCTGAATAGTAAAAGCACACCAACCGGTTTAGGTAACAATCGCACGCCACCGTTCATACATCATTAACACCTTACGGCGCGTACGGGAGAAATCCCAGCACACTTGTATTCCGTGGGTGATCTGCCCGTACCACACAATGATGCGGCAAACACTGTTCGAGAATGAAAAACTTTACTAAGACCAAGGATTGATGATTGTGAGATGCTAATTTACTTTAGAAAAACATAGGTAAGTACACAAAATAATAATGAGATCCGACAAATATACGCTTGCAATCTGCCGACAGTAGTTTTCGAGTTATTCAGTAAAAAGTACGACTGACGCTCAGTGATGCATATTGTCTTCAAAACCTTTGCTTTAGGCTTGTAATGAAGGAGACCATGCTCATTAATTAAGTCTTTTGAATGTTGGTTGCAGTTACTTTAATCACTTTGGTTTGGAGGCAATGTCGATTGCAATTTTTAAACGATTTAAACTTACTCTCAATGCATGAGACCATTTTCTCTGAATATTACTGTATTTTTTAGTGAAAGTACTTACACAATTCAGATATTTTTTAAAACTAACATTCAGGTATAATAGTATCAATTACATGCAAAATTGTTTGAACGTGATCCTGCACGCGAGTATTTACTAGTACATAGCTTGTATTTTACTTATTAAAATTTATGTTTTGAGCTAGTTTTTAGTCAGAATAGTTAAAATCTAAACCAATTACACTTTACTAAATCACGGTACAGTATTTACAGCAGTTACATTAAACATTATAGTATTTAAAAGTTATACCAGTTATACTAACCATTAGTAGGGCCTACCAGTGATAAACAGATCGTTCTAAGCGCCAACTTTGTGCCTAGAAACCGTGAGTTCCTGCAAATGGACTGTCTAATCAATTTGAAACTTAACGTGTCCAGTTAAGATCTATTTCAGAACCGTCCATTCTCCTCGATGAATATGCACTGAACTCTCACCGATTTGACTGTCATTGTTAGGCATAATAATGGCTCGTCGTTTAGTGCACCATTAGCCAATTATTCTGTATTATGTTCTTTGCATTATTGTAATTGATTGATAGCTTCTCACCTCTTGTTAGGTAGAAACAATGATAGAGCGGCGAGAAATGAACGGAATTAACGACTTTCTTGATCTTTGTTATTTGCAGTGTTTTGTTTTGCTTTAACTTCTTAATTAGCTTTGGATTGGGCTTAGAGTTCTTTTGCTATTTCTTATACTAATCTTTATTCTGTGACAGTTTTTAATGATACACGATTTCATACATTAGTCTTCTTTTTAGACTTATTTACTATCTGATTGCTATTTTTTATAGAATTCGGAATCAGCCTATGTTTGGTTTATGATGTTTAGACGATTATCAAAATGAACATTGTTTATAAAACTAAGACCAAGAATCGAGAACAGGTAAGCTGCCCCGGGTCACGACCATGCTGGACCATTACATCATCACCATACCACAGATAATCCCATAAAGTACTTTCTTTATTATTAATAGTATGCAATTAAGCAGAAAAAGTTATAGCATTCAAACGCTGACCTATGAGATGATCAGCAATATTTCTCTCACGGACGATTTGGCTTGATCTAAGCCGACGTTTTTGAATCTCTTGATGAAGCGGCATCTCTATTGTGTCAAACATAATGAATTCACTAATTTATACATCGAAGGGACGTAATGAAAATTGCGTAATGCGTTTCCTCATTTTGATTATAAATTATTCATGCAGTTAAAGAAAGCTTATGTTACATCATTCTGAGGTAACAAAGGTTTGATGCGCCGATATAATAAAACAGGTAAGATCAAGAAGTTTTGTTATAACATAATTTTGCCGTTTATATGCTACAATGACGTTCCTGGCGGGTAATTTTAACTTTCGCTTGCTGTATCGCCTTCGAATAGTCAAAAACTGTTAAAGAATACAAATGGTCAGTAAAATATATAGGTAATAGGCAATATACAGTCCAAAGCGATAATAGGTAAAATATTATTGGTTTTAGAAAGTGATTTTGCAACCTTCGCACCACATTTCTAAATTTCTGTTAGGACTACTACATAGGCTCAAGAATTTAGTAAGCATGTAATAAATAATATTTTTTTAGCCTATGTGAATCAGTAAAATGAACTTAGTAACTTTATTTAAATTTTTCGACTAAAGCCCTTAATGAGTATCAAATTAAGACAAAAATATAGGCCATGTGTATTGCATTAAATGAACCTTGACTTAAGAAGTAGACATTTTAAAAGGATGTATAATTTTATGACTGTGACCTTAAATTGATATTTGATATGACTAATTCTGCGAAACCGACCCGAACGCAACCCAAGAATGTGCCCAAAATCGGCAAATAAAAATCGGCCTACAAAATTTAAGGATCGTCAAAAATTTTAAGAATCCACCGCCTCCAATACAATGTCACCCTAACACACTTTTATTCCATTAAAAACTAGCATAAACGTGTTAATACGCTCAACATCTGAGCTTTAGGCTCGATTTCGTCATTCGCATTGACAGCGAGCGTGACATATGAAATTGAGAGGGGGGGACTCAAAATAAAACTCAGCGTCTTACAGCCATCCTCAACAATTGGTGCTTAGCAACGAACATGAAGGTTTACGTGGTGGCTTTGTGTATAGTGGCTGCTGCCTCGGCCCTGCCGATGGCCAAGGAAGAAGGAGCGATGGAGAAGTTCATAACCACATTAAGGGATTGCGTGGAGACCGACACCTTGCTGTGCTTGAAGGTGTGTTCAGTGAAGTGAAGTGATGTGCAGTGATTAGTGATAAGGAACAGTGTTTTAAATAGGCCATGGACGTTAAGGATGTGATTTCAAAATTAGGTCATCAGTGATCGCTCTGATAAAGTTGGGAATTTCTCAACATCAAATCCAAAGGGATCTGGAAGTGATACCGTTATTTTTGGAAGTGAAACGATATTGGGTTCGATTCCCAGCGTTGACGCTGACCATCTGTAGAGGCAATTAAGTGGTTGATGAGACGGTATCATTAAGTCTAATTAGGCAGTGGTTACGGAGTTAATTTAGTCACTTTGAACTTAACGACCGAGATAAAACTAATTTCGAATTTTAATAGCCACTAAACGTTACTAAGTCAGAATTGGAGTAAAAACCATTTCAACTTTTTTTAAACTAATTTTGACTCTCTCGAATTCATTGAGTAACAAAAAATATTAGTTATCTTCCTTTTTATAACAATACATAATTTATTCCATATTTTTTCATTGATGAAAAAAGAACATTCATTCACTCGCTATATTAAAAATCAACTTCGAGATTCAAGTCTTAACGCTAAAAATTTTAATAACAATTAATTATGTCCACAGGAAAAAGCAATGAAGTACACAGAAAACCTCGCAAACTCTAAGGACATGAGCGTCGTCGATGGCATCTCCTTCACCAGAACTGGAAGCCCCCGATCAGCCCGAAGCTACGAGCCTCTCCCTGATGACCCCAAGGCCAGGGAATCTCAGATAGAAGAAAGGATCCTGGACAATGTGGTTGATTTCCTGGACAACCATGCTCTACAGCTGAGAATGCCCAGGGTTTTCGAAGACGACAACTCAGTTGGTGATGAGGAAGGTAATATACATTGATTTGTAAAATTTTTAGATGAAAATATCTAGATTATTTTCTAAATTATTTCATAAATTCTAAATTGAGCTTTTAAAATTGACCAGATCACTTAGATAATTCGCTTTGTATCCCAAAGTCAACAGTTTAGTCACAGAAGCTTTTCTACAAAGAAATTAATTTGTTTCCTTGTGCATAAATCAACATAAATGTGAATAGCAAATGCAACAAAGACACGAGCTAGATGATTGATAAAGTTGAATCTCATTAAATGTATGCTAATGCAGTATGCGAATCGAATATGTAATTTATTTCGGAAATACAAATTACCAATCCCAACAATTGGTCAGTATTTTTAAGATAGAAATCTGGTTTGAATTTGAAAATTTTGGTATCAACAAGTCAAGCAACTACCAAATGAAAGCTTGGTTAAAAAAACCTACTGATTTTAGGCGCCAATTGCACATAACAGAACAATTAACTTTTGAAATCGATTGTTTTTGTAACGGTGAAAACTATTAATCTTATTCACACGATTGTGAACTGGGATGGTACGTGTGAACATGAAAATGGCGGTGCAAGTTCATAAGGCCAGAAACACACGACGGAATAGAAATTAGGTGACATGATAGAGCTATTAACCTGGTACTTATTGTCGTAACTAGAATTAATTGCTATTAAAAGTAATTTCTAATGTCTCATAATTATTATTGCAAGAAATTTTACTTGAAAAGTCAAACCTAAGGTAAATTGATACTCAAAAAAACCTCAATAAGGAGCTGCTTTTCCAAAATTGATGCTCCATAATGTATTACGCAATCAGTAAAAAATTACGTCACAAAATGACCCTTACGTAACTTATGTTAACTTTCTCATTATGAAATCGAAATGAAAATGTCCTTTCAAAAGGAGCCAAATTACTGTGTTGTCACAAAAAAGTCACCGTGACTAACACTTCGCGAATGCAAATCTCTCAAAGATTGCAACATTTACCGCAAAGTGAAAATTCGAAAAGCCGCTAACCACTAACGTTATGGCCATTTCTTTGTTGTTGTCCATATGTGTCCGGGACATAGTATTGTGCCCTGAGTTGACCTCGTTAGTTTGCGAGACTGGACGCATAACTATTGCTGTAATTGAACAGTGCATTTTGTTACATGCACTTTCTACAATTATAATAAGCATTTACAACGAAAATTTTGTTAAGTAAAGACTTATTTCTGTTATGTACACGTACAAGATAGCAGTAATAAAAAAACCAATTTCCTAGATAATTAAAAAAATACTCGTCGTTTTGTTTTCGTATTATGTATTTATTTACAGTTATAGAATGTTAGTGCTTTTAAGTACTATTTTTTCCAGTATTTATAAAATAAAAAACACTGTTGCAACAAGTTTTTCTAAACCTGTCATTTGTTTCCATTTCTGTCAAAGTACTTGAGACGATACCCCAAATTCAAAAGTTCTTAAAAAAATGACGATTAACACTCTCATCACTTGACATGTCCCCGAAAGCTCATGCACACCAAGCCTTAGCAGTTTTAATTTCTTTTCCATAACCATCGTTTGAACTCTCGAGACCTTCATCTTTTGTGCAACGAATACCATTTGCCGGTACCAAAACTAAAGAGAGATTCAATTGTTATACCTCATTAGTATCTTGATTGTAATTTGTCTCGTTATCCGAGTATTATCTTGTCAAAGGTCCATTGTATTGTCCTAACTGACCCTTGGGTAGTAAAAGATGTCTACTAAGACATACATAGAGGCCGCACCGTTATAAATGTAACCGTAGAACCAAAATGCATAAACAAGGGTCATAAATGCATTATCATCAGCAGTCTGTTTGTCTTTAATGTAGGATTCTTCTTAGAATTATCACACAGCTTCAATCGCACCTATTCGTGTGTCAATAGAAAGTTCTTAAACAAGTAATATTTGGATGAGCCTATAAGCTAGTTCCAGTTGGTCAAGCCCACACGGATGACCGTAATCATGGTGAGAACTAAAACCAGTGTAAGCAAGTTTCCCAAATGTACGAGTTGCAACTATTAAAGCCTGTTATTTATTACCTAATAGGTTTTCAAGTTCTTCAAGCTAGCTCTATAAGATAACTATTAGATCATTATAAAGATTAGTTTTTTGCTAAATCTGGTCTAGATTTTGTTCTGCTTGTCTAATTACATGATCATTAATTTTATTCTCATTCCGGTTTGGTGAAAAATCGTCGTTATTATTAAACATTTTTTTCTTCGTGGTTATCAAAATTACCTACGTGTAAATTAAGTAAGTAGAGTAAAATTATGTATTCATATTCATGGAATTTGGAAAATTAATTTTAATACCCACGATGCCCACCATAAACTTTATGATCGTTCCGTCTGATGTCACATTTATCATTTTAGAAACTGCCTATATTATAAAACCGTTTTCCGATCAATTCGGCACGATTCCAAAAATATGGAAATCATACCGGTTTGTGTGGTCCTCCGTCGTGTGATTTACATGTACCTACTCACTTTCACAAGCTGATTTCTCTCGAAAATACCTTCAGTTCATTTCACTTTTATTTTGGTGATCCTTCCTGACTGTGCATATTTGGCTGCAACGAATTTGGGGCTACAATTTTTTATTGTCAACATTCTTTGTTGGTTCAACAATGCATGTTGCGTCGGCTTCGTCGAGATTCAAAAGATTATTTTTAGCTATTGATCCGGACAATACTTTCTTATACAGATATAGGCACGAGTTCGTTGACGTTCATATGAACTGCCTTCAAAGAATATGCTTGATAGCCACAGCTCAGAGTTATAAATCTCCGAATCTGATAGTTTTAAATTTGTGTTATTTGTTTTTATATAAATTGCATTGTTCATACGATTCAAGTAGGGACTTTTTACGTATTTGACTCATCAAATTCTAATGTCATCTTTGTCATTCCAGGTCGTGGTAAGAAGAAGAAGAAGCTCAAGAAACTCCTGCCCATCCTCGCTCTTATCAAGCTGAAGCTGGCCGCCCTCGTTCCCTTGTTCTTAGGTATCATTGCCTTCGCCGTCTTCAAGGCTTACCTCCTTGGCAAGATCGCGTTCATCGCCGCTGCCTTTGGTGCTATCAAGAAGCTTCTTGAGAAGAAATCCAGCGGTGGATGGTCTGAGCCAGCTCACGAAGAGCACGGTTGGGAAAGCGGTGGCGGTGGCGGCTGGGGCAGGTCCCAAGACGCTCAAAGCCTAGCGTACGGTGCCCACGCTAAGCAAGCGTAGGTTTAAATTAATTTATTAATTTATTAACCAGCTCCAAAGATTAGGAGCCTCCATTTTATTTGGCTCATCAAGGGCCTTCATATTTTCTTCATTTAACTTAACCACCGTTTCATTTTTATGACAGTGGTTCTTTATGGATGAGTGTGAGTCGCGAATGGTCTTAACTGTATATTTTACGTTACAGTATTTTTTAGATTTTTCTTTTTATTTTATTGATATTTATTTTATTTTACTTGTATCTGTCAACATCTATTCATCGTTTCGTATTTATCTATCTTATTTGATAGTTTGTATTTATTATATCGTAAAGACACTATTACTCTTCATATCATATTAATACATATCCCTATCTATGTATGTTGTACTCGTACGTATATATTTATATATTTTATCACGTATCTATTTTGTGTAAATATTTTACAAGTATTGTCTTAATCTCTTTAGAGAGTACTTTATTTGTTTACCAAATATTTTTAAGTTTTTGTTCCAAAGATATTATTTTATTTGTGTATTTAGATTTTTTAGTTGTTCTTATTTTTTATTTAGTTAATTTTTCGTGTGATTGAATTTTAAGTCATATTTATTACCGTATGTTATGTTTAACGATTGAATGTTAATTTATTATTACGTTAAGTAATTTATTTTACGAGGATCCGCGTAAAAACGAATAAACGAATTCATACAATAAATTCATGTATTTTCTCTCATTTCCTTCCTGAAACAATAAATAAATTACCAACTCTTAGGTAACATAAATTATCCTAATTACAGTTATACCAATTATTATCAAAAGAATTCCGTATTTGTTGATTTATAAACTGACATGTTTTGATAGACTAAATTAATTGTGTGAAGATTATACTAAATTATAGCTAATCAATTACTAGGTAATTAGCTAAGGCCTGATTAACAAACAAAACAAATTGCAGTTGTACGTGTTATACTACTATGAACTTGTAATATTATGCATTCTTTGGAGAGTTAGAAAACGAATGCTCGTATACTTCCTTTCAATTAGCATCATTTTAAACTATTGCCTTACGAAAAGAGCTATATTTTGTTCTCGAAACCCTTTCATTTCCCGGTTCAACTAAGTATTAGGTTAGCAAGTTTATCCTATGCCATAAAGAGGTAAGATAGCCAGTTCCTCTGTGGTTGAGAATTTCGCTTCCACCTTTGGCCTGATCATCACTTACCATCAGGTGAGATACAAGCCAAGAGTTTCCTCGCTGTGGATAAAAAAAAATATTTTATACGCCTCAATTATTTTCATAAACTTTATATTGAACATGTAGTAATGACTATGTTACCCTTTTCACACTAAATGGGACTGTAAACTAGAAATAAGAAGGGTAGTCATCTTATACTTAAACTTATTTATGTTATGAATCATAGAATTATTGAATCAAAAAAGTCTCAAATCATGCTTAAAAACGTGCTCTCATTAAATGATTAAAAGAACGAATTACATCTCTACTTAGCCCGATTCGACCAACTTTTATCCGAGAATGACGCCTGGTATAACTGGCACATTTACAGTTTCAGTATGGGAAAACCTCAGATCATCTATGATTTGAAAAATTAAATTTGAAAAATTGACGATTTATTCTGAGATTAATATTTATTTTGGTCGAATCCACCCTTATACAGAAACTGTTTAGTGACTGTATGTAAAAGAAAGGGCAATAGTTTCAATGTCACTATCAGTAAAGTATCTACACCTACCTACTAATTTAAATGAAACCAACTTAACACACCTATTATGTAAGTTAAAAGAGAAGTTTCAAGACATAATTACTTACAAACTTTCGGGACAACCCTGGAATTCTAGAAATCATAAGTAACCAATTTTACGTAAAGTATTATTTTATTGATTTTATAAGAGAGTCGCTGGTAGATCCGTTCTATTAAACACCCAGTTTAAAATAACTCTCTTCAGGATGTTTGCTCATAAGTACTTACAGTAGAAATCGTTCTTCGCACGTTTTGTAGTCAAACAATCGTTAAGTGTTCTGTGTACATTGTATAATGTATATGTATATAAGAAAAGGTCACTACTTATATACAGACTTCAAGATAAGTCATCGCTTGAATTCTATTTTAAAAGAAAATAATATAGCCTGAAATCTAAAATGTAACACTAAATTTCAAGTAAGTACTTTTAAAAAACAAGTTTGAACATTCATCACATAACGTTTATTTTTTCTTTATATAAAAAGTACACCTGCAAAATATAAAACGTGTTTTTAGGTATAAATTAAACGGTAATCAACAAGTTTACTGAAAAGAAATAATTAGGCGGCTATTATGAAATGTATCTAAATACAAAAGACAATAAATAAAAACTGAATCGTAAGGTGAAAGGAAAAGTTATTTTTACTATTTATTCCTTTACTATTTCGTAACAAACATAAAAACATAAAAACAATTAAATAAATATTAACTTGTTGAATACGAAATAAAAATGTCAGCAGCTTCCTTGAATATGATAAACTGAAACGATTTTTTAACACGAAACTTCATTTACTAATTGAAGGAAATAATTTTATGTTTTGATGTAATTATTTCCTATTTTTGTTTCTGTGACATATTGTGCAGTCAGTGCCCCTAGCGGCTACTTTTAAGAAGTAAAATCTTCATAGATTTTTTTCGACGTGCTCGCTAGCGAGCACACCTAACGTAAACTCATGGTAAAGCACACTAAAGAATTAATTTTTCATGTGTCAGTACATGAAAGCACATGGAAGGCGCGGGCGGGATGCAGGCCGCTACCAACCGGGCGGTGTGGAATTCATTGTTCCGCAATAGACGTTCTGTGGCTGAAATGATGATGATGATGATGATGATGATGATGATGATGATGATGATGATGATGATGATAACAACACGTAAATAAATAAATAAATATCCCCGGACATTTTACACTACGCTTCTAGTCCTAAACTAAGCAAGGCTATGGGTACTAGACAACGGATATAAACAAACTTAAATACTTTTTTTTTGTAAATACATACACAGTAACACCCAGCCCCATCACAGAAATTAAAATTCATCATTTCAATTTCTGCCCGGCCGGGAATCGAACCCAGGACCTCTCGGTATAGTAGTCCGATCCGAACCACTACACCAAACGGCCGACAACTTTAAAAGGTAACTTGGAACTAAACACAACTTTGTAAGCTTTCATAGACATTTGACAAGTTACTATTTGGCTGACAAATTGCCCTTCGAAGCGAAAGTCATCATCACCAAGTAATTTATTCTTCACTGCAGAAGGAAGACCTTCCTTACGAGGCAGAGGAGAAGATTTGGATTACACTTCTCACGATGCATCGATGGCAAAATGTAGTCCTGATATTCGCCAATTGAATGCCAGCAATCATTAACTTAATGCCATTTGGCATTCTCTTCCAGTCAACCTTTGGGCCAAACAGAAAATTAGAGTAGACGGTGCTTAAATATTGACCTTACGTAAACCTTATTTTTTGAGGTTAGTAAAATTAAATGCCAATTGATGTCAAAGTTGAACATAGCAAAAAATAAATCGATTTAAATGTTTGATCCAGCTACCTTTATGAGGTCGTCGGTTCACATTATGGGTGGACGTATTACGCTGCGCTTTCCGGTACGTGGCCTCAATTCCAGAACCTAGCTGCCTGCGATGGATGCAGGCCGCCACCGACCGGCCATTGTGGAAATCATTGGGGGAGGCTATATTCGCGGACGTCCTATGGCTGAAAATGATGATGATGCTATAAATGTTTGATTGTCATAGCCCGCAGAATCGCTAAAATCAAGTGGCAGTGGGCAGGGCACATAGCTCGTAGAGCTGACGGCCGCTGGGGCAGGAAAGTTCTTGAGTGGCAACCACGAGCCGGAAGACGTAGCGTGGGCAGGCCTCCCACTAGGTAGACCGACGATCTGGTGAAGGTCGCGGGAGGCGCCTGGATGCGAGCGGCGCAGGATCGGTCTTTGTGGAAATCCTTGGGGGAGGCCTTTGTCCAGCAGTGGACGTCTTTCGGCTGAAAACGAAATGTTTGATTGATAATGTCATCATGTTTTCTTCAGTCGAAAATTCTGACACACACAGTGGGCCTCATACGCAAATATGGTCACGTACGAGAAGAAAGTGCTGTGATGAGTCAGTGACTGCGGCCTTGAGCCAACGGCACTACGGGTATTACAGCCCAGTGGGTTCACACTGGGTGCTTTTTATTGTTGTGGACATTTTATTTTGTTATAATCCACAACGATGAAGCTCTTCGTGCTATTATAACTAGTGTCCGACCGAATATGGATTTTCAGCCGAAAACGGAAACGAAAACGAAGCTTCGGCCGCAGTCTCATTTTCGGCCGAAAACGAAAACGAAAATGACCTTCAAATGTCAAATTTCAATCTGTGATCAAATATTATCTTGTAAACAATATGAAATTATGTAAAAACTTTGAAAACCGTTAATGTTTTGACCAAAAACATACTGAAGTATGATAGTCGATTTTGATAAGGATTGATTAAAGAAATTAAACAAAAAAAATTTAAGATATTATTTTGAATTCTTAGTAGAATGTTATTTCCGGTGTGTATTGGAATATTGGGAAGTGAAGAAGAAATAAGGGTGTCAAGTGGGAATTTTTCAACTTCAAAAATGAATAAAAATAAATCTAATGATTTTTTTATTATTTATTACTAATGCAAACTGGAGTTTAACTAACAATGCGGATTTAATTTTTTATAGGCAATGTCGTTTAAATGACGCCCGTTTTACTCTAGGCACTCTCACAGCCGGACCCTTACATTCGCAACTATGCGAGAGCAAATTGCGCTAATAATTTTTCTGCAACTTCACGGCGGATATTTTCTTACAGAACCTGAATTATTTAAGGATTGTTTGCTGTAAACTTTTGACTTGAGATATCCCCACAAGAAAAAGTCGCATGGTGTGTGATCTGGTGATCGAGGCGGCTAGAGTATGTACTTGCTGATCAAATATTTAAAAAAAAAAGATAGTCCTCAGTATCTCCATTGAGGATCTGTCCGTGTGTGGTGAGACACCTTTTTGCTGAAATAGAGTTCCGTAGTTGTCCGGGATGCAGTTGCAGTTGTGGTATCAGACATTCATCGATCATTCGACAATACAATTGACTTGTTGATTTATGCAAATTCCGCATAATTTCGTCTTGAACTTGGGCCACCCGTTTGGCG